AAGAGCAGTCAGTGCTCTTAACCACTGAGCTATCTCTCCAGACCCCTCATTTAGCACTTTTAATGTCTAAGACTTTATAGAGAAAAGACATTGTTCTTTTTTTTTTTTTTTTTTTTTTTTTTTTTAGGAGAAAGTTTATTTCAATTTACAGTCCCAGGAGGAGAGAGCATGGCGGTAAACCCAGGGCATGGTGGCAGGAGCAGGAAGCTGGCTGATGATATTTCATTATTGAAGGAAGCAGAGAGGGAGAGAGAGAGGGAGCAGGAAGTCACAAAGACATTGTTCTTAAAGATGACATATACTTTATGTTTTTCAATTCTAAATTCTGAAAAGATAAATCTTTAAAAAAATAAAAAAGGCTAGGCAGCAGTGGTGCACGCCTTTAATCCCAGCACTCGGGAAGCAGAGGCAGGCAGATCTCTGTGAGTTCGAGGCCAGCCTGGTCTGCAGAGTGAGTTCCAGGACAGACACCAAAACTACATGGAGAAACCCTGTCTCAAAACTGTGCCCCCCCCCAAAAAAAAGAATATTGAGGAAGAACAGCTTTAAAATAAAATCATAGAAATCCTTAATTATGCCAGATAAGGTCGTGCCTGCCTGTAATCCCAGAATTCATCTAGGGCGGGAAAACTCCTTTAGTGTTCAAGGCCAGCCTGGGGCACACAACAAAAACCTATATCAAGCCGGGCGGTGGTGGCGCACGCCTTTAATCCCAGCACTCGGGAGGCAGAGGCAGGTGGATCTTTGTGAGTTCGAGGCCAGCCTGGTCTACAGAGCGAGATCCAGGAAAAGGCGCAAAGCTACACAGAGAAACCCTGTCTCAAAAAACAAAAAAAAAAAAAAAAAAAAAACCTATATCAAAAATAATGGAAAGAAAATCCTAATATTACAAAAAAAAAAAAAGTAGGTGATTCAAGACTATCCAGATGGGAAGAATAATTAGCAAATTACTGAAAAATCTACACTCTGTATTTCAACATTTGAGAGTTTGAAGACAGAATGTTATGTGAAATAACACAAGATTAAATAAAAGAGAACAAAGGGATCCTGCTTGTGCAATTCTTGGGAGCACTGCCGCAGATCATGTGTCTTTCAGTCAGGAGCAGCTCCACTGCCACTTTGTTACTGTGCTGTGCAGCCCAGGCTGACTTCAAGCTCATGATCCCCCTGCCTCAGCTTCCAGAGTAGCTAAAATTATAGGTGCTTGCCATATTGTTTCTTCCTTACCTTACTGGTGCAGAGAATGGAACCCAGCGCCTTTCAAAAGCTAGACAAATGCTCTATCAGTGAGGCGCATGCCCTCACCCGTGCTAACTCTTACAGGTAGAAATGCATGATTTGCTTCCTTTCCTATATATGCCATATATGGAAAGTATGGTTTGGCAAATGATTCCGCATAAAATCTGCATTAAAAATCTTTTCATTTGGAATATTATGACTATTTGGATAAGTTTTACAAAAGAAGCCAGAAAAATTGTGTGGCACCAGGAGTGGTGGTGAACACCTGTAATACCAGTTTCAAGAGGTTGAGGCAGGAGTCATGAACTAATTACAGCTGTAAAAAATGCAAGGTTCACACACACAGTGACAGCTCTATGACAAACTGTGACAAAAGTTCTTGTCACAGGGCCCTGGGGGTAGCTCAGAACCACACCATTTCAAGTTCCCAGGTGCCTTGGAAGAACTATAGTATTATTTATATATTTTCTTTTTTTTTTTTTTTTTTTGGTTTTTCAAGGCAGGGTTTCTCTGTGTAGCTTTGCGCCTTTCCTGGAACTCACTTGGTAGCCCAGGCTGGCCTCGAACTCACAGAGATCCGCCTGGCTCTGCCTCCCGAGTGCTGGGATTAAAGGAGTGCGCCACCACTGCCCGGCTATATTTTCTAACCGTAACATGTAGTTCTCATAATGGCCCATAGCATCAGAGGAAATATATGACATTTCTCAGGGTTCTTGATTTTATTGAATTGTTTTGTTATTAATAATCACTGCTCTTCAATGATGAAATTAAATCTAAACTCTGTCAAAAGTTTCCAAGAGGGCCCCTGGCAAATGTTTAAAATAGAATCTTCAGCCCCTATACAATAACTCAGAAATTCCTGCACACGGATACACAATTAACGTTGAGAAGTAGGAGTCAATTCTTTTCTGCTTCCTGATTTTACTGGGATAAATTAAAACCGCAGCCAATTGCTGTTGAAATGTCAAGGCTAAATGTCACAGAAACATACAGTTCCTCTCCTGTTCCAAACACTCCATTGCTACAGTCAGTCGTGTGTCTCTAAGGACGGGGATGTGACCTTACATCGAAGAGCTTCATGACCATGACCTAAGCCTTTCCTGTCACAGCCCTTGAGTCCATCCTTATGCCCACACAGAGGCCAGTTTCCATTTCATTCTTGAATTCACATAGGTAAGTGGGTGGGTGTGTATGTGCTCAAACCCAGAGACGCGTTAACACCTCGTCCATTAATCTCATCGCTCTGTTTTTATTTTTTTTTCTTATTTCCTTTGAAATTAAATAATTCTTTACCCATTGCCCTTCATTGCTTAATAATTCAAAGAAAGCACCGGAAAGAGTCAAGAACCTGCTCCTATACATTCACTTCTCCACGCTTCAATATCCCTCCATGTGAAATGAGATCAGGGTATCTGGCCCAACGCCATAGATGGTCAGAGTAAGAGAAACACTGTCTAGGCGAGAACTTTAAATACTTTAGAAAAAAAAAAGTGTAAGAATATTGTGATTTTTTTTAAAGTAAGATAAGAATTCAAATGCGAAAAGTAAACAACAGAAGAAATCAAGAGCCTGCTACTCGCTCCCCCTTGGAGCTAGTAACCTCAGAATATCTTTTAATTCCGTAGTGGTTGAGCATGTGTCCTGACAAATGCTGTACCATTCTTAGGACCCATATCACAAGGAAACATGCAGGCTATAATTCACTACTGAGAAACAATCTTGTCCTTTCTGACTCCTCTCTCCGCCAGAATAAATGCTGATATTTGATGCGAGCACAAAGCCTCAATTGTTTGAGCCCAAATTTCCAGTGATGTGGGTAGACTCATTCTACCAAAGAATGCCATCAGATTCCCATCTGCTGACTTCACGGCAGGGATGGGCTCACTGTTTGCCTCTCCCTAAAAGAGGGTGAAGCTGATAGCAAGCCCAGGACCTTCCCTGGGAAGCTCAAGCCAGGCAAAAGCCCAGCATTACCTGAGGAGCTGTGGGCATCTGTCAATTTTCTTTAATAATGTGTGACTCCTGATAGGACAACGAAAACCCTACTCCCGAGAGCAGGTGGACACCATAAACTGGATTAGATTAGGGAAGGCTTGAAGTTGGCTGGGTAGAAAAGTGAGGTGGCTGTGGGAAGGATTGGAGGAAGGGAGGTGAATATGATCAAATTACATTGTATGAAATTCTCAAAGAATAAAATACTTTTTAAAATTGAGGTTAACCAGGCAGTGGTGGCACATGCCTTTAGTCCCAGCACTTGGGAGGCAGAGGCAGGCGGATCTCTGAGTTCAAGGTCATCCTGGTCTACAGAGTGAGTTCCAGGACATCCAGAGCGACACAGAGAAAACCTGTCTCGACTCCCCCTACACAAATAAATAAATAATTCTGTAAAGCACTTCTACCTGACAATAAATTGCTGCCACCTATCAAAATGTACTGAATAGAAAAATATGGAGGACCCCTTTCTGAGTAATGTGAAGGAAGTAAAGAAATTTGCTCTTGCCCTAGGAGAACTTGACAGGCCTGCATTCTTAGATACAGATCTCAGAAAGATCCAGTTCTCCAGAAGGAAATGGTGTTTATCCCTCTATTGTCGGGGCTTCCAGCGGTAGGGAGAAGAATGGCTATTCTAAGAAAGGTATTTCCGGTTCCTGTGTTCAACAATAAGGTATTTCTAACTTCTTCACAGTCTGACCTCAAATGCTTAAATAAGAGGGAAGTAAGACTCTATTATCCAGACAGGTTAAAACACTAGACGGAAGTGAAAAAGGAAAGGAGGTGGACACAGACACTACTTAGAAGGAAACAAAAACAGCGTCTGCAGAATAATTAGGAAAAAATACTAGATAATAGCCTTGTGGGGAGGGAAAAAGAATGGGGTGAAAAGTGAATTAATTGTAGAGTAGAAAGGAGTCGAAAAGGTACTTCTTTTTGTTCTGTTTCACCTTTACCAAGTTCCAGGCCACTTTGGCCAAAGCACAGAATGTAAAAGATTGTTCCCAAGAATGACAAAGCATGTTGTTTGGACATGAAGAATATGGAGATACACAGTCCCGGATCTCCATTCTCAAACGGTGAGCTCAGGGCCTCTTGAATTATTTGTAATGATACTGCTCACATAACACTTTAAAAGAGAACTTTCCAAAATTTTACTTCATTTCACAACAACACAGTGTGCTTACTGTTCTTTCTTTTCTGAAAAAAACTTAACGAAAAGTTCAAGATCTAAGATTACTTGTCCAAGAAGGATGAAGTTAGATGTCCCGGTAGGGCCAAAAATACCTAATAAAAGCAGAAATGTACTGAGAATAGGCACAATTTGTTCAATTCTGTTAAAATTTGCATACCGACACTAACCTAGTAGTATGAAAGATATGAAAAAATCCCAAGCATTCATCCATTGGTGTTTTAATCGTTAGCAGAGTGATGATATCATTGCATGTCAAATAGCTTCTGGAAATTTCCACTGTAAATGAGAGAGAGAGAGAGAGAGAGAGAGAGAGAGAGAGAGAGAACATGAAAGTGAAAGAGGTGAAACCTTGTTATCATGGAAAAAAAATCTGATGTCGGAGACATCGTGAAAGAATTTTGTAGACAAAATTTTTTGTAGACAAAAAATTAATTTTTTGGTCACGTGTCAATGTAAATCACGAACAAAGTGTATTTTTCTCGGGTGAATATTGTGCTCTCGTCCCTGGACCTCCCGTGAGAACAGCTGACCGAAGGTAACCTCGGAACCCCAAGTTTCGCATCTAAGTTGGGAAAACTTTCGTTGCGCCCAGGGCGTTAGCAGCCTCCAGCTGAGAGCAGCGCGGTCGCGCAGGGCGGAGGACCGAGTCCAGGAGGAGGAGCTCCTCCAGGTGACCGCCAAAGACACGCCTCTCCTCCCTGTCCCGCTGCGGTGACGGCGTCCTGGGGACACAGGCTGGCCTCTGCACGGCGCGCGTTCCCCGAGCGCCCCTACGCGGATCCCGGACGCCTCCTCTGCGCGCTGGTGTCACCCGGGCGCGCGAAGGGCCAGGCTCCGACTGTCGCCGGGATCCAGACAGCGTCCGCGACGCAGAGCCAGGCCGCCTCGGGGACCAGCAGACACCTCGGCTCCCTCCCAAGGCTGGTGGAACATGTTCCTGGGGACGCAGGTGCGGCTCGGGGTGGAGAAGTGGGGAGTCACCGGGAGGGGATGCCTAGGCGGTGGCATTCCGGCATCTAGCTGCCCGTCTGCGCCGGCCAGAGTAGCGTCTGCCTTGGCCTGTGTCCGACCTCTCCTCCGCAGATTCCGGGGAGCAGCTTTTGTTCCCCGGCGCTCGAGGGGTTTCACCTGCCCGGAGCGCCTTGGGTCTGACAGATTAAAAACCGCGCGTGGGGCGCAGTGGCACCACGGCTTTGGGTACAACAGGTCTTTGACTCAGTTCCTACTCAAACCCAACCCGCTGAGACAGGGGCTTTTTTTTTTTTCCTTTTTTAAAAAATGTCTTTGTTACTTTTGTTTTAGTTTGTATGACAGTTGCTAGACTATGTTTCCACTTCTGATCGTACTCAGCCAGCTGACCAGACTTACCCTCGCGTTTCCTCATTGCACAAAAAGCTTAAAGGATTCTGAACATGCCCGAGAAGAAGGTAAGTAAGCATGGCTGCCGACTGGGAGAAAACAGTTCTGGAAACCAAGAGGGGTCTACTATACAGATCTCAAGTGGAGTGTGGTAGGGGGAATTACACGCCCGGGTGAACCACAGAGCAACAACGTATCCTTTGTTTTAATTTGTGGCTTTCTTGTTTAGGGTTGTGGGGGTTTTATGTTCTTTAACTACAGTATGTACAAACTTATGTTTAACACCTGGTTTGTGGTTAACTGAATTGAAAGTCCGAAAATCAGTGAGTTGCCGTTTCCTAGACGAAGCTGTGTGTTAGTTCTAAAGAGCAGGCTGCTGTTTGGAAAGACTGACAGGGAGGTCAGACTCCTGTCAGGACTTGTTTGTGAACCGCTGGGAGTCCCTGCATAGACAAGCGCTCTACCATTGAGTGACATCCTGCCCCCTAGTCTGGACTTGAGAGACCCTGTGCAAAGAATTCTTGTCTTGACCGACTTCCTCTGTAGAATGATGGAATGGGGAGGCGGAATGACCCTTCCGGTCATTTTTTTTTTCAAATGTTATGTTGTCTATATAAAGGCAGATGATTGAGAGATAAGTGTGTGGCTTGCTAGCCCAGAATTTTTCGGTTACAGGTCACAAGCAGATTGGTTCCTGCTTGCATTTTAAAAGCCTAACCTAGCTTTTAAGACCAGGAGGGGAAAAAAAAAGCGCCCTAGGCTCTCAGCCTCCTTTTCCCTAATGAGTCACCAACACTTCGAATTTACTCACACATTCCTGTCCCCTTTTAACAGATCCAGTTCTGTTGTTGGTTTTTTCATTCTTTTACTCTTTGAGGGACCCACCACCCAGCTCCCAAATAAATACACTTATTCTTACGTATGAATGCTTTGGCCTTAGATTGGCTTGTTTCTAGCCAGCTTTTCTTAAATTATCCCATCTACCTTTTGCCTCTGAGCTTTTACCTTTCTATATACCTTTCTTGCTTCTTACTCCATGGCTTGCTGTGTAGCTGGGTGGCTGGGTGGCTGGGTGGCTGTGTAGCTGGGTGGCTGTGTAGCTGGGTGGCTGTGTAGCTGGGTGGCTGGCCCCTGACGCCCTCCTCTCCTCCTTTTTTTCCTTCCCCTCTTTTTCTCCTATTTATTCTCCCTGCCTGGCAGCCCTGCCTGTCCTTTCTCCTGCCTAGCTATTAGCCATTTAGCTTTTTATTAGACCAATCAGGTGTTTTAGACAGGCAAAGTGACACAGTTTCACAGAGTTAAACAAATGCAACATAAAGAATGCAACACATCTTTGCATCATTAAACAAATATTCCACAGCATAAAAGAATATAACACATCTTAAACTAATACTCTACAACACAGTTCTCAGTTTATTTTTACTTGAGTAGAATCTGTTACTAATACTCCTGACAGGCTTATTAATGATTAATGAAGTGTGCTCCCCTGCCGTGTGTGTGTGTGTGTGTGTGTGTGTGTGTGTGTGTGTGTGTGTGTTAGGAAAGGGTAATACGTTAGCCTAAAGAAATCAAATTCTGATGGCAAAATTCTAGGCAATTGGATGGAGAAATTTGAAACAGAGAGAGGTTTTTAGAATGGAAGGAATCCTTCCTGTGCTTCCCAAGCCTTCACCTGTGGTGATGAGCCATGCTCAGTAGGACACAGATACTGCTCTCTGGCATGATCATGAGTACGTTCATTCACTTGACAGGCATTGACTGGCATTGCTGTCACAAACATCACAGAGTAATTTAGGAGTCAGACCCAGGTACAGAGCAGCCTACCATGTTTGTGGGAAATGAAAATGAGTCGGGACCCATATATAAGCACACTGTGTGTCCGGTCCTCTGCCAGCTGCTGGAGTTGTAGAAAGGACTATCATTCAAGAAATGTTTGTTCTTCTGGGCCAGGTGGGATAAACAGATACTCTCCCTAAGCACAGTAACAGAGGTAGGAACAGAGGACCCTGAAAACGGAGAAGAGTAAATGGCAGTTGCCCATGCTGGAAGAGCTATATAAAAGACAGCCAAAGCTTCCCATCTGCAAATGAGACAAAAACGAATGGAAATGTTAAAGGCACAGTATCCTCCCCTTATCTTCAGTGGGTACATTCTAAAACCCTCAGCAGATACCTGAAACCTCAGACAGTACTGAACCCTATGGATAAACACAGCACACCACCAGGCATGGTCTGTTCAAAATGGCTACTAGATGACTAGTGGGCGGGTAGTGCACAGACCGTGGATACTGTGAGCAAAGGGATGATTCATAATCTGGACAGACAAAATGAAAGGGATAGGAGAGTTTATCACACTACTCAGAATGGCACGCAGTTTTTCTATTCCATACTTTTAGACATTGGTTGACCTGGCGTAACTGAAACTATAAAAAGTGAGATGATGAATATGGAAATACCTACTGAAACTGCAGGTGGGGAAGGGAGCCCCCAGCACAGTTCTGTTAAAAGAATCTTAGAACACTGTTGAAACAGAGGGTCTCATTTAGAAAACATAGGGAAACGGAAGAGAAGACAAGAATGGATATTTGAGTAGTAGATTTGTAACAATGGACTGCGTAGATAGCCAGCCTCTTAGGAGAGTTCAGGAAAGAAAAACACGGGCTCAAAGGCCAGTATACACACACACACACACACACACACACACACACACACACACACGCACGCACGCACGCACGCACACACAGTGGTCGTGGTCGTGGGAAAGGAAGGTGGCAGCCCTCACTAGGAGGCCTGGGCACTCCAAAGAAGTTTGCTGTATTCCAAACAGAGGCAAATTTGACTGTGTTTCTTCTGAGATCAGGAGGAAAGCAGGGAAAAGTCTGAGCTGGCCCTGAAGGTTACATGTAAGGTTAGCCCCTCACAGAATTGATACTTTCACACTCAGAGAAGAGGCAAACTGCAGATCCAAGAAGGCACGCTTAAGTGAAGTTCAATTACAGTGTCATGAATAATCCTAGATTGTATTCATGACATCATCATAAATATCATTTCAGGAAAAGTAAAAATATTTGTAGCTCTTTTTCTTTTGTTTTCTAATTAAAAGTAGTTTTTAATAGCCTGGTGGAGAGGCACATGCCTATAATCCCAGCACTTAGGAGAATCTTTGTGGGTTCAAAGCCAGCCTGGGCTACATAGCAAGTTCTAGGCCAGCTTCAGATACGTAGAAACACCTTATTCAAAAAGAAAAGTGGCTTAGTAAAGGGTCTTAGGGTGAGGTGGATGGGTATTTATGAGCTGGATGATGGAAGCATTGTCCATGAGAAAGTTGGCAATGCTTCTTTTTGTTTTGTTTTTCAAAGTGAGATATGATCTCACTCTATAACCCAGGTTTTCCCACGTTCGTGGTAATTGATCCTTGTTTAGCTAAGAGTGATAGAAAGGACACCAGATGGCCCCTTCTGGCCTCTGTGCATCTGCATTTGCTGCATTCTGCTCTCTCTCTCTCTCTCTCTCTCTCTCTCTCTCTCTCTCTCTCTCTCCCTCTGTCTCTCTCTCTGTCTGTGTCTCTCTCTTTCTCTCTCTGTCTCTCTCTCGCCTCTGTGCATCTGCATTTGCTACATTCTGCGCTCTCTCTCTCTCTCTCTCTCTCTCTCTCTCTCTCTCTCTCTCTCTCACACACACACACACACACACACACACACACACACACACACATACAGACACACACACAAAATCTAAATAAAGGAATAAAAGAACTTAGGTCCAAGAGTGCTTTCCCATAGTTAAGAAAGGTACGTTTCTTCACATCCTAAGTTTTTGGCCTCTCTTATATGCCAGCAACCAGTATCTCTCCGTTTGCAGATCCTTCCCACTAAAAAAGAGAACATGAAAGTTGAAGGGATAGCTCACTGGTTAACAGCACTTGTTGCTCTTGAAAAGGAACTGGGTTTGGTTTTCAGCACGGACACAGCATGTCACAACTGTCTGTAATTCCAGTTTGGACACCCATTGGCCTCTGTAGGCACCTGGTACACATAAGCTCACCTAGGCACATGCACATACACATAAATTAATTAATTGAAACATTTTAAAGAGAACATTATAGTAGCAGATAATTAAGTGAAGCATGTTAAAAGCAGGTTGGGGCTCAGTGCTGTCAGGAAATGCCGAACATGACAAAATATGCTAATTGGATAGGAGGAGGGGGTCAGAGTTGTTGAACAAAATCCCAGAGAAGATGCACGAACAGGCCGTGAGCATGCCTGCACTTGGGAAAAACAGCAAGCACACGGGTAGGGAAGACACAGTGTGGTTGAAGCACACAGCAAGCTACAGCAGACGACAGGAGGGAAGGTGGAAGGAACCCAGCCCAGAAGGACAGGGGACCACACAGGAGGGGACCACTAGGTCATCAGAAGGGCTTTGCCTTTATTCTGTCGGAGGTAGGGATGCCACGAGGAGGTTTGGTTGGATTTTTGTTTTACTATATTTTTGGTTTTAGTTTTTGGTTTTTCAAGACAGGGTTTCACTATATACCTTTGGCTGCCCTGGAACTTGCTCTGTAGACCAGGCTGGCCTCAAACTTACAGAGATCCGCCGGCCTCTCCCTTCCAAATGCTGGTATTAAAGGTGGCCGCCACCACCACCCAGTTTTGTTTTGTTTTTAATGGAATATTTTTTTTATTAACTCTTTGAGAATGCTACTAGGAGATTTTGAGAAGGCAAAGTAGGAAGAAAGTTTTTGTTTCTTTTTTAAATTTTTTATTATTTTTAGACAGTCCTGCTTGGCCTGGGACTTGCCAGATAGACCAGGCTGGCCTCAAACTTACAGAGATTCACTTGCCTACACCTTCCGAGTGAGTGCTAGGATTAAAAGTTTTCACCCCCATACCCAGAAAAAGGTATTGTTTTTGTTTTTGAGACAGGGTTTCTCTGTGTGGCCATGGATATCTAGAACTTGCTATATAGACCAGGCTGGCCTCAAACTCAAAGATTCTCCTGCCTCTGTCTTCTGAAAAGTTATTGGGTGTTTTTTGTTGTTGTTGTTGTTGTTGTTGCTGCTGTTGCTTTATTTTTTGTTTTTGTTTTGTTTTGTTTTGTTTTTTATGGGTCCTGGGAATTGGACCCAGGTCCTCTGGAAGAGCAATCAATGCTCTTAACCTCTGAGCCATCTCTCCAAGTCAGAAAAGTTGTTGTTTTTGTTTTTGTTTTAATGCTTTCTTTGTCTGGCAGGATGGCTCAAGAGATAAAGGAACTTGCTTATGCTAAGCCTGACAAGCTGAGTTGACTCCTTGGTGGAAGGAGAGGCCCAACTCCTGCGTGTTGTCCTCTGACATCCACGAACAGGCCGTGAGCATGCCTGCATATACACATATTTGTGCACAAACATACATTGCACACACACAAGCACACACACACAAATATTTAAAACTTTTTTTCCTTTTTTTTTGAGACAAGATCTCACTATACACCCACCTGGCCTCTAACTCAAGGCCTTTCTCTGCCTCCTGAGTGCTGGGATTAAAGGCATGCACCACCACTCCTGGCTAAAACATTTCTTTAAAAGATTCTCTCTGGCTCTTGTGTTAACATCAAGTTGTAAAGGAACAAGGAGACTTGCAAGCCACTGCAGGGGTGCTAGAGAGGGCGACAAAGACTGCAGAAAGTCCTCGTTGCAACTTCATTTGACAGCATGGCTCTCTCTACAAGGAGGCAGTGGAGAAGGGCCAGGAGTGTTGGAGCATCCTGGCCTCTCGGTCTGCCTTGTGAGATAAGACAGCTGTCAGCAGTTGTTCGTTATCATTTCCCCTCCGTTCCACCAGCCTGTATGTCATTATTACAGAGGAACTGACACTAAGACCGGGCTGTGGTCCCACGACAGAGCACCAGCCCAGCACGTGGGACACCCTGGCTTCAATCACCAGCAAAGCCAGGAAAAAAAAGAGAGTAAGAAATTGACACCCTGGAATAGTGATGATAAAAGAAATATTATGGGAATCACATAAATAATTCAACTTTTTTTCTAATAGGCATAAATGAAAAAGCAAAAAGAAGCCAGGTGTGGTAGTGTATGCCTTTGATCCCAGCTCTGCTGGCGGGTTTCTGTAAAAGTTCAAGACCAGCCTAGCCTACATAATGAGTTCCAGGCCACCTAGAATTGCATAGGGAGAGCCTGCCTCAAGTAATTAATGAAATAATTAAAGAAAAAAAAAAGAGCAAAAAGAAATAGGCGAAATAGATTTTTAATGTTTTTTATTTTACCTAATATCCACAATGCCTTCTCAAAGTATACACATATATAACTTGTCTGTGCTCTCTCACGTATTTTTCAATATGAAATCTGAAATTCCATGAGTGCTTTTTATATATCAGTAGACTAGCCACTTTTCTAGTGCTTAGTAGTCATATATGGCCAGGAACGTCTACACTGGCCAAGACAGATCTAGAAGAGTCTAACCTACTTAGATAGTTAATGTATAGAAAAAGATCTCGGGCAAAATCTGAGTATTCTCATGACACTAAAAATAATGGCCAGCCTGAGGTTACAAAACTCACAAATCATATTCCCCCACCTCGTGTTTTTCCTTATTTTGCTGTGTAGCCAAGGCTGACTTTCAGTTCAAGCTTGTCCTGCCTCATCTTCTCACATGCTTCACCTTGTTATGTTTCCCATTGATTTCTCAGCAAATGTGGACGAAATCCCACTGAGTGTTGTGGACACCTGTCTGGACGGTGGGATGAAGGGGTGGAAGGAGCTCTTCCTTTGGGATGGGCTGAATGGCTCTAAGTTAATCTTCTGATTCGCCTGTAATTTTATAAATAGGAGTTTAGAATTCTTTTAGCATACACTTATATAAAACCTGCAATATACAAGTGTTAATGTGGGGCTGGGGAGGCGGCTCAGTGACTAAGCTCCTGCTCTGCAGGAGCTTCATTTTGATCTGCACCAGCCATGCAAAAGTCAAGAATGATCACTCATGGGCCTGTAACCCGGTCCTGGGAAGTAGAGACAGGTGGATTCTGGGAGCTTGCTGGCCAGCCAGCATCCCCAAAGGTATGAGTTTGAGGTTCGGTGAGAGACCCTGGCTCAAAGGAATAAGATGGAGAGTGATAGAACAGGACACCTATCATCCTCTTCTGGCCTCCTAATGCATAGGTGCACCAACACACGAGCTCACACATCACACACACACACACATACGCACACACCAAAAGACCATACTAACTTATCATTAAGGCCCTAGGTTGGACTCTAGCACTAAAAAGAAAAGGAAAGGAAAAGTAGTAGGGAAACAACCTTTGGAAAGAATATCTCATCTGTTATTTTTAGGAAAAAAATAATCACCAGGAAGGACAACTGAAACTTTTTTTATTTTTTTGTTTTTATTTTAGTGTGTATTAATGTTTGCCTGCATGTATGTTTGTGTGAAGGTGTCAGATCTTGGAGCTATAGACAGCTGTGAGCTGCCATGTGGGTACTGGGATTTGAACCTGGGTCCTCTGGAAGAGCAGTCAGTGCTCTTAACCACTGAGCCATCTCTCCAGCCCGGATAACTGAAACTTTAGTAATTTTTATTTATGTTAATAATTTGGGGCATAAACAACTCAAGTATTGTCTGGAATTGCCAACATTTTCCCAGAAGCTGTTTTACTGATGCTATCTGGGAGGCCAATCTGGAGGTCACCCAGGAAAGGTCGGCACAGTTTACCCATATCGAGAGAATGATTTTTTTCCCTCCAGTTAAAACAGGAAGTGTCTGCCTTACCTTTATTGTGTTTGAAATCCTTTTGTGTTTCTTTATTAGTCTTTACAACAAAAGAAGCAGCAAACGTCTTTATGCACCGCCGCCTCCTGTACAATAGGTTTGATTTAGAACTCTTCACTCCCGGGGACATGGAAAGAGAATGCTATGAGGAGTTTTGTAATTATGAAGAAGCCAGAGAGATTATCGGGGATGACGAAAAAACGGTAAATTGTCTGGTGATGTCAATCACCTGGAAAGTTACTTCATTATACTTTGAGAAAGTGGTGATAAATGCATTATAGACCTATGTGCTTTAAACAAAATCAAAATCGTATGCCTATTACCTCCTTCTACTTCTTAAAATGCTAAGTAAGCCTCTTGAAAGTTGGCTTTGTGCTTCACTAGCTTTTGTTTATAATAATTAGCAAATTATGGGCTTTGTGGTGATATTGTGTTTAACCTTTTTAAAAATTAATTATTTATTTATTTGAGACGTGGTTTCTTTGTGTAGCCCTGGATAACCTAGAACTTGTTACACAGACCAGGCTGGGCTCAAGTGCTGGAATTAAAGGTATGTGCCATCATGCCTAGCCATGTGTTCAATGTTTATTATATTAAAAAAAAAATAGTCTCAGGGCAGAGTGGATTTCAGTTCAAGATGTTATTTGAAGATAGCTCAGAGGCCACGGCACTAGAAAGCCCAAGCCCCTGGGTTCTGTCCCCAGCAACTAAGACATCATTGGAGTTAGTGCTTTGAGCATCAATCATTTAAAACAAAGCGCAAGTTTTCCTCTTAGTGATCTTGCCTTGATTGCCCACATCTTTATTTCAACTGTTTATTGACAGTCTCCTATGTACCAGGCACTGAGGATATTACGTGTTTGGTTTTTAAGATTAATTTTATCTCCGTATGTGTATATATGTGCTGCTCATCAGCTGAGTGCTGGGGTCTAAGCTCCGGTCCTTATGAGTGCACAACAAGCTCTCTCCACCATTCACCCAGCCATTCACCAGCCTCTGGCACTGAGGATGTAAAGTGGCCTCTGGTGTCAGGATTTTATTGATTTGTCTATGTAGTTTAAGAGAGGATCTTTTTTTTTTTTTTTTGAGTTGGGAGTCTGGGTAAGTAGAGATCCTCCTGCTTCTGTCTCCTGAATGTTGAGATTTAAAAGCATGCACCACCACTAAGCCGGGCGGTGGTGGCGCACGCCTTTAATCCCAGCACTCGGGAGGCAGAGCCAGGCGGATCTCTGTGAGTTTGAGGCCAGCCTGGGCTACCAAGTGAGTCCCAGGAAAGGCGCAAAGCTACACAGAGAAACCCTGTCTCGTAAAACAAAAAAAAAACAAAACAAAACAAAACAAAAAAAAAGCGTCCATACCTGTCCTAAGGGGGAGGGACTTTTTTAAAAATTTAATTCCCAATTTTTTTATGCATATGAGTGTTTTTTCTGCATATATGTCTGTGCGTCATATGCTTACCTGTGCCCGAGGAGGTCAGACTAAGGCTTCCCAGTCCCCTGGAGCTGGAGTTATAGATGGTTGTGAGCCACACTATGGCTGGCAGGAACCAATCTTGGGTCCTCTTGCAAGAGCAACAAGTGCTCTTAATCCACTGAGCAATCTCTCCAGGCCCAATGTTGTTGTTGTTTTAAAAAATCTCCATTAAAATATAATTCAGTCCTGCCTGTTAATTTAGATAATACAGGGCACAGACAGGTAACACTGAGCCTGCTGTAATACAGAATCTTCCGGAAGAATTCGAAGTGCTTCACTTCCTCTACACGTAAATAATGCCAGCTCCTGCTCTCCCTTCTCAAGCATCCTTCTTTGCTCTTTGCTGAATAAGAAACTCCCCAGGGATCCTCCAAGTGCATAGAGAGAACCTAGTTATCCATTCTTCCATAATCCTTCCCAATCACTCACTTCCTGCAAATATTTGCCACATGCAGGAGGTGAGAAAACAAAGAACGTATTTTATAGTTGTGCCTGTTGGGATTTAATGATGTTTTTCATAATTTAAAAAAATTATTTTAAACTAGGTGGTGGTGGCACACACCTTTAATCCCAGCTCTCCAGAGGCAGAGGCAGGTGGATCTCTGAATTTGAAGCCAGCCTGGTCTACAGAGTGAGTTCCAGGACAGCCAGGGCTACACAGAGAAACCCTGTCTCAAAAAAACAAGCTAACAAACTAAAATTATTCTTTCATCATGGTTCCTCAAAACTCCTCGATTCTTTCAAAGCGCATAGAACTTGAACGGCCTGAGAGATAAATTTGCAAGTCAGTGAATTCAACTCTCCTAGCAAAGCGAGCCCCACCCCCTCACCCCCCAGTGCAGAAAATCAGACTGCTTTCACAGATGGCCAGCCTCAACTGGGTAAGGGGAGACTAGCAGGGCATGGTCATGGAGAGCTGGGACTAGCAGCAATCCCTTCACCAATTAGCCAGACAGCAGAGACAGCAGCATGAGTCACTCCCGTCAACTTGAATGAACTGATGTCCCGACTGTGCCACAGGCCAAGAGTTTACCACCTCCAATCTAGGTCACTGGGAACAAATGAAATGATACTACATTACAGAAATCTGAAAGTGTCGTCTTTTTCCTTAGACTACGTTTTGGCGGGATTATTCGACTAAAGGACCGACCACACGATCGGGTAAGGGGAAGAACTGCTGACATGTCATGCTGTCCTCACCTCTCATCGCCGTAACACATTTTAGTCTTGATGTCTGAGCTTGGCTGTTGCTCAATGTGCATACCAAGGACTGTTTCTCAATTATATGCTGGGCTGTGCGAGACAGAAGGCTACCTTCGTCTGTTTACATACTGAAAATCAAGTTTGGTGAGATCTTAGGGAAATGAGATAATGGGCTTAAAGGTTGTTTAAGCAGCTGGGCTAAGTTAAAACTTGCACAGAAGTAGGACCCTGTTAGTTTCAGCTTATAAACTAGTATAACCTTTTCTTTTGTTACCATCACAAATGAACAGAACACCTCTGAGAGGTAAATGAGGTTGCTGGATAAGGCTGAAGTTAGGTAGGGCTGGGGCTGCAGTTCCAGAGTGCTTACCTAGCAAGCTCATGCATCTAGGCTTGCTCTCCAGCAACGAACACACACACCTGCACTCACGCAGGCGCACACCCACAGTGAGCATGTAGTTCAACTAGTAAAGTGCTTGCATGAGGCCTCGGGTTTGAGCCACAAAACTGGCATAAAATGGGTATGGTGGTGTACACCTGTAATCTCTTTGGTCACCTTCCTCAGCTACATAGTGAATCCCAGGCCAGCCCAGACTCTAGGAGACCACACCCCATCCCGGGAGCGGGAAGAAGAGAATCACTGAAGATATATCTCAGTGGTTGAAGACACGCTTAGCATGTACGAAAGTCTGGGTTCAATCTGCAGCACCAAAAAAACAAAAGGAGATTATTCAGAAGTAGTAGCTACTAGAGAAGGGAAGGCCTCTCTGTCTTACCTGTGTTGGTCATCTCAAGCTGCTTGCTCTTCTTTTTAATAATTTGATCCATAATACTTGTACCTATTTACGGAATACAGTGTGGTATTTTAACACTTATATACAATGTGTGGTAATCAAATCAGGGCAATTATCATATCTATCACATCAAACATTTGTCAATTATTTGAGATGATAATACAAAAATCTTCTGTTTTGAAATATCCAGTAAATTATCAGCAATAGTTACCCAACTTTCTACAGAATAGTAGAACTGACTGGTCCTGTCTGACTGTCATTCTGTTCCTGATAACCAGGTTTTTTTGGTTTTTCAAGACAGGTTTCTCTGTGTAGCTTTGCACCTGTCCTGGAACTCACTTGGTAGCCCAGGCTGGCCTCGAACTCACAGAGATCCACCTGGCTCTGCCTCCCGAATGCTGGGATTAAAGGCGTGCGCCACCACCGCCCGGCTGATAACCAGTTTTTTAATGCCTTCTCTCCATTTCTCCTTCTAGCTGCATTTGGCCATTTATTTAATTAATTTTGCCCTTGATTCTTTCATTTATTTTAGGCACCTCCTGTAGGGGACTATTCCAAGGTTGCCTAATAAAGGGACCAACATGTCTAGCTGAGCAAAATACATGTTTATCCCACTTACTGTTAGATATTATTCACATAATATGACCTGTTTAAAGAAATGAAATAATAAACATAATTAAGAAATGCCACCTAAGAGCTGGCAAGATGGCTCAGTGGGTAAAGATGCTTGCCACCAAACCCAGGTTCAACTCTCAGGCCTCACATGGTAGAAGGAGAACACAAACTCTCAGAAATTGCCATCTGACATCCACATGTATGTCACGACAACCTTCTCACACACAATATATAAATAATTTTTTAAAAAAAGAAAAAGAAAGGCCAGGCAGTAGTGGTGCACGCCTTTAATCCCAGCACTTGGGAGGCAGAGCCAGGCGGATGTCTGTGAGTTCGAGGCCAGCCTGGTCTACAGAGCGAGATCCAGAACCAAAACTACACAGAGAAACCCTGTCTTGGAAAAAAAAAGAAAAAAAGAAATTTAAATAACAAATATCATTTACATTTTTTAGGTAGTTCTATGACACAAAGACTTCAAGATAAATTAGTATTGCTTGGCCATATTGTGGTACACACCTTTAATCCCAGCACTTAGGAGGCAGAGGCAGGCAGATCTCTGGGAGTTTGAGGACAGCCTAGTCTACAGAGCCAATTTCAGGACAGCCAAGGCTACACAGAGAAACCCTGTCTCAAAAAAAAAAAAGAAAAATAGATAAATAAATCAAGCAGTTATTAGTTATGAAATTCTCCTTAGTAATGTGTTAAATTTGTTGAAATTATAGATGATGCTTTTCAGTCATGCTATTAACTTACTTTACTGGGTTTTTTTTTAAGATGTTAACAAAGAGAAAATTGATGTTATGGGCCTTCTGACTGGATTAATTGCCGCTGGAGTATTCTTGGTTATATTTGGCCTGTTTGGTTACTATCTGTGTATCACCAAGTGTAACAGGCAGCCGTATCTGGGGTAAGTCAAAATAGTAACTTCATTGGTGCATTCTGTAGTGTTGTTTTTAAGTGGGTCAAACTGATAGCTATTTGTTTTGAGGTTTTTACTCCAGAATAATCCTAGATCGTCAAGATGATTGCAAAGACAGTTCAGGGAATTTTCATGCACCCTTTGCTCAGTTTCTCCCATAAATTTCCAATTATGTTACCGTAGTAGATCGGTCAAAACTAAGAAAAGAGGACCAGAGATATGGCTCAGTCGGGAAAGTGCTTTCTGCACAAGCATAAGCCTTGAGTTCAGATCACCAGCAACTAGAAAAGCTTGGTGTGGCAGCATGGGCCTGTGCTCCAGGGAGTACAGGGAGGTGGGAACAGGGGCTCCCTAGGGCTTGCAGGCCAACCAGCCCAGCTTAATTGACCACCTCCTGTTCAGTGAGAGACCCTGTCTCAAAAAACAAGGTGGAGAATAACTGAGAAAAACACTGATGTTGATCTCTCTCTCTCTCTCTCTCTCTCTCTCTCTCTCTCTCTCTCTCTCTCTCTCTCTCACACACACACACACACACACACACACACACACACACACACAAACATTGTAACATCATCATTAACTAAACTCTAAATTCAGATTTTGCCAGTTTCTCTGTTAGTGTCCTCTCCCTATCCCACACTACATTTTTGTCTTCCCAGACTCTAGGCTGACAGATGTCTGGTGTTTTAACATCCACATTAACAATCTAATGATGCTGTTTCTAAAATTTTTAAAACGTATTTATTTATTTAGTGTATATGTGTATGGCCACCTGTGTGTCATGGCAAATATGGGCTAATGATGCTATTTCTAAGATCCTTCAAAAGAATACAAGATCTAGGTGTAGCTGCTCAGAGCTATAATCCCAGAACTTAGGAGGTAGGGAAACAGGATTCAAGTTCAGTACCTGTCTGGGCTACATACAGAGACTGGTCTCAAGATTCCAGAGACTGGAGACACAGCTCAGTAGTGCAGCACTCCCTGGAATGTATACAACACTCCTTTTGACGCCGCTGCCCCATTATTTTCAAAAACAGAAAGTCCAGCAGTTTACTGGGTCATGAACTTAACAGATCTCTGTGGCAGAAGCAAAACAGTTCAGGGACCGAGGATATAACTCCGTTGGTAGAGTGCTTGCCTAGTGGCAAGAAGTCCTGGGTTCAGTCCTCAGCACCACATACACCTGCTGTGGTAGCACATGCCTACAAATACCAGCACAAGGGAGGTGGAGGAAGGAGAATCAGAAGTTCAGGATCATCCTTGGCTACAAAACAAACTGGAAGCCAGTCTGGGAATATGACACTTTGTTTTAAGGATGGAAGGGAAACTGGCTTTAACCTATTATTGATACCTCAAAAATAATAAAATAAAATTATTACCAATTAAAGATAAATAGAACATTAACAGAGACTGATAAGAATTCATAGGGACCATAATTATTTGCAAAACTGTCTTGGTTAGGGTTTCTACTGCTGTGGTAAAAAGCAACGTGAGGAGGAAAGGGTTGATTTGGCTTACAAATCCTGGGTCACAGTCTGCTGAGGGGAGCCAAGGCGGAACCTGGAGATACTAAGCAGAAGCCATTGAGGAACGCTGCTTATTGGCTTGTTTGCCCTGGCTTGCTCAATCTGCTTTCTTTATTTATTTTATTTACTGATTTTTTTTATTTTTATTTTTTATTATTTATTTATTTATTTGAGTTTTTTGGTTTTTTGAAGACAGGGTTTCTCTGTATAACAGCCCTGGCTGTCCTGGAACTCGCTCTCTTAATGGCTGAGCCATCTCTCCTGCCCTCCTTGATATATATATATATATATGTGTGTGTGTGTGTGTGTGTGTGTGTGTGTGTGTGTGTGTGTGTGTGTGTATGTGTGTGTGTGTGTGTGTGTATATATCTATATATATATATAGATAGATATATATATTTAAGTTTTTCTCATCTTTGAAATGAATGAGGGAAAAAATTATTCCTCTTAAAGTTTCATAATATCGTTTTCTTTCGCCAGTTTTATAACTTTGGCTGTTTGTTTGTCAGAATTATCATCTTAAAAGTTACTTATTTAAAAATAAAAATTCTTTACATGAGATCAGTAAATATAAAGGATACATTTCTCCACAACATTTAGTAGAGTATTTTTTTCTGGGGGACTAGGGATTTAGCTCTGTTAGTAAAGTTCTTGCTTAGCATACAAAAGCCCTGAGTTTGATTTGTAGCACCACATAAACCAGGGGTGGAATGTGTCTGCCATCCTAGCACTTGGGAGGAAGAGACGGGGGACCAGAAATGCAAGAGCATCCTCAGCAGTATAGCCAGTCCCAAGCCAGCAAAGCATTCCCTCTTGAAGGCTTAAAGGAGATCATGTTGGCTCATCTGAGAGAATCACTTAAAAGTTATTTCTATTGCTATATGAGTGTCTCAAATGGTATTGATAATGAAGATTAAAGTCTTCAAAATTTTTTATTCTAGTTTGTGCCCACAGAAGCTTTTTTTTTTTTTTTTAGTGTCCTAAGAGATCACTCAGCCATTAAGAGTGTATGTGGTAAAATATCACCACGTTTCAGCACAAATAAAATATTATCACAGATCTCTGTGAGTTGGAGGCCAGCCTGGTCTACAAAGTGAGCTCCAGGTCAGAGCCAGAGAAACCCTGACTCCAAAAAAAAAAAAAAAAAGAAAGAAAGAAAGAACTGCTAGGCTGGAGATAGCCCAGTCAGTAACATGTCTGCTATGTAAGCATGGAGTCTGGATTGGACCCCAGCATCCAGGTAAACGGGCAGCCATGTTGGCAAGTGTTTACAGTCCCAGTACTCGGCAGACAGACAGCTGGAGGCTTAGAGCTCTCTGAACAGCCAGCCTAGCCTAATTGGTGAGTACTGGTCTCCGTGAGAGACCTGTCTCAAAAAAGCAAGGTGAATCTCTGTGAGTTCAAGACCAGCCTGATCCACATTCAGAGTTCCAGTATAGCTAGGGCTACCTAAGAGACCCTGTCTCAAACAACAAATGAACAAAAAATCACCCCAAAATGACTCCTGGGGAACAACACCCAAAGTTGTCCTCTGGCCTCTGCACATGCATGCACATTTGCATACACACACACACACACACACACACACACACACACACACACACAAAAGAAAAAAGAGAAGCTACTATTGTGGATTTGGTATGCACATTATGTGTTCTCATTTGCAACTTAATTTTGGTATTTAACAATACAGTTTAAGTGCATTTCCGGAATGGTAGTTTACATAAAATAAAATTTATCTTCTTTTATATTTGTAAGTAAGTTGTTCAAGTTCAGAATTCATCTCATTCACACGACTTTACAGTCATCTCCAGCTCCATGCCAGTGGACCCAGATACTCCCCATCTTCTGTTCAAGTCCCCAGCCCACCAGCTCAAGTTCACCATCATCCTACCTTCTGCCTCTGTGAATTTTGCTATTCTGACATCACATATGTGGAATCACACAGTATTAGTCTAACTGGTTAATCTGGTACAGTATTTTCAAAACACTGAGCATCTTGTAAACTTTCATTTGCCACTTAATATATATTTTCTGGCATATTACTCTAAGATATGATTCCATTCTAAAATAACAGCAGTCTTAGACTAGCATTTGTTTCTGAAAGGGACCAATGTGTATTGTGCTGGGTCGAAACAGGATGTGATACAGTAATGTATGTGAAATTGTGGGAGCTAACATGCTGCTGTTCAGATCCTGAGTACACAATTGACTAGGATTAGTCCTTGGACATGTTACTTACATGTACACTCCCCATAATAATCAAAGCCATCATGTATCATAGTTCCACGGGAGCAACGTTCACACAGATGTGTGAATAATGTCTTTTGGCATTGTGCAATATGGTGGCCCAGATCATTAAGTGCTTAAAATAATGCTTAGTGTATAGTACTAAATCAGTATTAACTATTATTGTTATTATTCATTTTTGAACTCAGGTTGTTCCACACATTTGAGAAAGAGTATTCCTATGTGCCTTTGTAGTGTTTATGCATTTAAAAAATAGCCTCCAACCCAGGCATACAGCTCAATGGTAGAGCACCTGTATAATACATGTGGGGCCCTGGGTTCAGTCCCCAGCATCTAAATGAATAAACAAATGAGTAAGTAAATAGTCCCCAGGGGCTGGAAGCTGTAGCTCAGTGGTAGAATGTAAAGTCCTGAGTTCAATTCCTAGCACCACAAAACAACCAAACACAAAACCTGTTCAGAGCTTGTACTGATTATAGAGGTACTCAGCATTCATATGTTCATATGAAATTTAAATTGAGATGTATCATAAGTAAGATTTTTTTTTTTTTTTTTTTTTTTTTTTGGTTTTTCGAGACAGGGTTTCTCTGTGTAGCTTTGCGCCTTTCCTGGAACTCACTCGGTAGTCCAGGCTGGCCTCGAACTCACAGAGATCCGCCTGGCTCTGCCTCCCGAGTGCTGGGATTAAAGGTGTGCGCCACCACCGCCCGGCATAAGTAAGATTTTTTAACTCAGTAAATTATAAAATAGTAGCCGGTGAACTGGCCACCTGTCCCTATATAGCTAAGTTTTGCTGCCTGTGCACCAAGTGCTGCCGTTGTTCCTCTACACCTGCTGCTCAGTGTGTTCTGGAGTTTTAGAAAGTGAGGGGGAGTGTTCAAAGAAGACATAGAGTGATTACCATTTGGTGAGAGAGAGGGAGGGAGATGTGTGTGTGTGTGTGTGTGTGTGTGTGTGTGTGTGTGTGTGTGTGTGTGTGTATGGAGGGAGGGCGGGGGGAGAGAGAGAGAGAGAGAGATTCCAAATTTAAAAATTTGAAAGGGCTGGGAAATTTCAGTCTAGGGAAGATGGTGACAGGTGAATCCTGTTAGAACAAGAAGAATAAAAGGCTGCTTTTTTGGAAAAGGTTTTTGAGAAAGCCATAATCTGTTCCATCCTGGGAACACAGAGGTGGCCAAAGCAGACACATTGCTTAAATAATGCACAGCAGAGCAGGAAGAACCTGTAAGGTAGAGGAGCACCCATTGGGATGCCAGCGTGGGACTCCCAGGGGAGGTCAGGAGTCTGGACTTGTCTGAGGGAAAAGAAGCTGTGGGATTTGATGGCTGGTAGAAAGCTGGAGGACATATAGGGAGAATGGGAGTTGAGTATTGACTTCTGGCTGAGGAGGAAAATGAAACTTGGATTTGACAGAATAAAATAACATTTTATTTCAAAGATTTTAAAGACAGACGAGAGGGCCTGAAGAGCTGGCTCGGCAGTTAAGAGCACTGGCTACTGGTATAAAACAAAACCCTTTTTTTTTTTTTTTAGATAGGTGAAGGAAGGGCAAAACAACAAAAGACAAGCTCTAAAGATAAAGGAATTGAGCTGACATTTCTCCAGAGGGGACAAACCAATGTCTGAGAAACACCTAAAATGACAGTGAGCATGCTGGAGTTACACATGCCCATCCTACTGTGTCTGCCTTTTACAAAGTTCTGGGAATCGAAACTCAGATCATCAAGGTTTCAAGACAACTCCCCAGACCTATATCAACTGTCCCTTAGTGGGAAAAAAACTATAGACATGCATCAGAGGTTGACCAAAGTTGTCTGACTTTAATTGTCATATTACCCTTAATTCTAGGAGGTGAGTTATGCATTGATACTTTATAGCCAGCCAACTCCACGGTCTAAACAGCTCAATTTACTAACATTTAAATTGTAGTTTGAGGACTGGCAATATGGCTCAGTGGGTAAAGGCACTTGCCACCAATTCTGATGACCCAAGTTCAATCCTTGAGATCTACAAGATAGAACCAACTGAGAAAGTTGTTCTTGGACTTCCCCAAGCACACTGTGGCATGTGTGTGTATATGTGTGTGCATATATATGTGTACATATATACACACATATAAATGTAATTTTAAAAATTTTAACGTAGTTTGCGATTCAGAGGAGAGGATGGAAAATGTCAGACCTGTGTGGCATTTTAGCTTTCACTGGCTGATAAGGTTTTGTGAAATTGTTAGTATTCTTTAGGTATAGTGGTACAAATCTACAGTTCTAGAAGTCAGGATTGCCAGTTCAGGACCAGTTACAATAGTGAGTTCAAGGTCAGCTCAGCAACCTGAAAAGACCCTTTCCCAAAATTTTCCAATGACTAGAGACGGCAGCTCAACAGTACAGTACTTGCCTACTAGCATGCCAATGACTCTGGGCTCAATCCCAATATGAAGAGAAGAGAGGAGAGCGGGTTAGACTCTTTGTTTCACTGTGGAGAGTGGAACCCAGATCTTTACACACACTAGGCCACTGCTTTACTATGTACTTGGCCAAGAATAAATGGGCTTAGAGAAAAAGCTGGAGAAAAGAAAAAGACAGCGTTCCCGGAATGGAACAATGCCAGTCAAGGCACAGAGAAGGGGGTTGGGGTGGAGCTCAGTTGGTAGATCTCTTGCCTAGCATTTATGAAGTCAACGGTTCAGTACCCAGCACTACATGCCTATAATCTCAACACTGAGGAGGTAAAGGCAGAAGTTCGAGCTCATCCTTAACTACATAGTGAGTTTGAAGCCAGCTTGAGCTACTGAGTCCCTGTCTCAGGGGAAAAAAAATAGAGCAGAGAGAAAAAGGGGGTCTCAGAATTCTGTATAATTAACCAAGAAGAAAGCTATGAAAAATACAGTGAATCCAGAATAAGAGAGGCTTTGCAAAGAGGGTTCAGGAGCTATGTAATCATGGAAAGCAGGCCATGTCTAGATTACATGGCAGAAATACTACTTGGGAAGGTCAAGAGTCAACCAGGCAACAAGACTGAAGTGACTTGGCGACATGCCACCTCACAACAAAGCCTGGATTTGATTTCCAGAGCAGGAGGAAAAGGGATTCACTCTGCTGGAAGCATTACGTCAAATGTCCTACTCAGTGCACACCAGCAACTCTGTTGAGGTAGCTCTATTACCCCATTTTAGAGAGGAGGAAACTGAGTCAGGGAGCTTGACTTTGATCACAGGATGACAGGATTAGTTTCTGACTAATGTCTAACTTCAGTGCTTCTCTGTGTCACCCTGGCTGTCCTGGAACTCACTCTGCAAACCAGGGTGGCCTCAAACTCACAGATCCACCTGTCTCTGCCTCCCAAGTGCTGGGATTAAAGGAATGTGCCACCACTGCCTGGCTTCTAGAATTTTTAATGTCATTATCCCAGAAATTCACTTCTCTTCAATTAAATGTCATCTCTCTGTTTAGTTCTTCAGCTGTCTACACAAGAAGGGCCAGACACACACCCTCCATCATTTTCAGAAGCCCGGAGGAAGCTGTCTTACCTTCATCGCCACCTTTAGAGGACGCAGGACCACCTTCCTATGAACAGGCAGTAGCACTGACCAGAAAACACAGTGTCTCACCACCACCTCCATATCCTGGACCAGCAAAAGGGTTCAGGGTATTTAAAAAGTCTATGTCACTCCCGACTCATTAAGCCCACCTTGCCGCCTTGCTGTAAGACATTCATGTGGTTTGAATGATTTGTTCTCCCTGAAACAAAAAAGATTTGCCCATTCAGCTTTTTATGACAAACTGCAAGGAATGAAGGAGCAATACACACTGAACAGAATTCACCACAGTTCTGCTTTCGGCTCAGACCGGGACTGGATCTCTATCATCTTGGTAAGAGACTTGAACTTCATTTCCTCGAAGTTAAGAAGAAAGTGCCTTTGTGCAATGTATGTTGTACTGGTTCAAAAGTCTGCTATAGCTGGGTAATGTGATGAATGCCTATAATTCTCACACCCAGGAGGCTGACTTGGGAAGGATGAGAGTTCAAGGCCAGCCTGGGCCCTGTCAAGACCCTGTCTCAAAACAAGACAAAGTTTGTTAATAATTAGAATGAGGAAACTAGGAACCGTCAATCATTAATTTAATGTCAAATCATGATATTGGATCTTCTCTTCATTAGGATTTCTTTTTGGCTAAAAATACTTCACAGAATTTGACATTTTGGTGTAGCTCTGTGGCCTTGATATAATCACTTGCTTTTCTGATTCAATTGGTGCAGAGCGTCCACCAAATTTGCAGGTCTTAGTTTTTCACTTGCTATCCATCATGTTTCCGTGGGGTAAGAGGTACCAAGAGGGTTTTGTTGTTTTTTTCTAGAAATTACTACTCATGGGTTTAGGAGACACCTCACTTGGAAAGTGCTTGCCTTGCAAACATAAGGACCTGAGTTCAATCCTCAGTACCCAGGTTTGAAACAAACAAAACCACAAAACAACAACAAAAACCATGAGTACTTGATACATACCTACAATCCCAGCACTGGGTAGAAGGACATAGGAGGCCCCCTGGGGTTGGTAGCTAGCCACTGCAGCTGAATCAGGAACCTCCAAGTTCAGTGAGAAACTCTGTCTCAAAAATTAAGGTGGAGCCAGTGAGGTGGTGCATTTACCTTTAATCCCAGCACTCAAGAGGCAGAGATCTCTGTGAGTTTAAGGCCAGCCTGTTCTACATTGTGAGTTCTAGGACAGCTGGAAAGCCTGCCTCAGAAGAACAAAAGCAGAAAACAATGTCCAGTGGTAGGAGCACAAGCCTTTAATCAGCATGCAGGAGGCCAAGGCAGGAGGATCTCTGTGAGTTCGAGGTTGGCCTGATCTATAGAACTAATTCCAGTACAGTAAGTGCTACACAGTGAAACCCTGTCTCAAAAACCATTAAAAAATTAAATTAAGTTAAAGATGAATTAAGGTGGAGAGCAACTGAAGAAGATACCAATATCAACTTTTGGCCTCTACATACATGTGTTCGCATGCATGTGCACACACACATGCACAATATTGAGCTGGAAGTTGAGTGACAGAATAGTAGAGGCAAGTGGTTGAGCTCTTACTTCATATGTATGAGGTTAGACTCCTCAGCATTACCAACTAAAGTCACCAGAAAGCCTTTCCAGCTTGTGTGTGTGTGTGTGTGTGTGTGTGTGTGTGTGTGTGTGTGTGTGTGTGTGTGTATGCTGGAGACTGAACCAGAGCATCACATATGCTAAGCACATGCTGTATCATTAAGTTAACTCTCAGTCTCCCTCATTTTTTCTAGTACATCTTAACACATGGAAAACATACTATAGTTTCAACAGATACTTTTCTGTTGTAGTCCTATAAATGACCAGTTCTTCCTCAGGAATGTAGAAGAGGAGCTCAGTGGAAAAGTCCGTGCTTAACATGTGTGCAAGACCCTGGGTTAGATCCTCAGCACCCAAACAGAACGAAAATGTAGCAGAATGTGACTCACAAGCGGAGCACACGCTCCCTAATTTACATGCCTGTCTATTTCAGTGACTCACAAGCGGAGCACACGCTCCCTGACTTACATGCTTGTCTATTTCAGTTCATTTGCTTGTCATGTGTCAGGGTACTATATGCTCTGGGGTCAAGGAACTTGAACTCTTGAAAAATTGACTAGACACCAGAGAAGGTGGTGCACACCTTTAATCTCAGCACTTGGGAGGCAGAGGCAGGCGGATCTCTGTGAGTTCGAGGCCAGCCTGGTCTACAGAGTGAGTTCCAGGATAGGCTCCAAAGCTACACAGAGAAACTCTGTCTCGAAAAACCATAAAAAGAAAGAAAAGAAAAGCTGACTAGAAAAAAAATTTGTGGTCTTCTTTGTTGTTTGTTTCTGTCAGACATTTCCCTATTCTTTAAGATTCTTTATAAATTGTTACTTTGTTTTATGATGTTATAGAGTTGAGATCACAACCTTGCTTGCATTTGATAATTACACCCAAATTAAATATTTAGAAAATCCACATCATTTTGCAGCGTTTGTGAATGTGAATGTGTGTGTGCCTTTCTTTTATAGCATTGTAATCTGTGTTACACCAGTGTAACACACCAGCAGTCTCAGCACTTAGGAGGCATAGGCATGAGGATCACAAGTTTGAGGCCAGCCTGGGCCACATACTTAGTTCAAGGGTCACCCGGAGTAATTAGTGAGATCTTGTCTCAGGTAAAGCAAAACAAAACACAAGACAGCATGATCTTCATTAAGGCAGATAAAAGGAAGATGTCAGTTGTTAGAGAGTGGCAAAGCTTTATCCTTTTACATTTTCAGACTTGTTGGCTGCTGGTCACAAGTAAATCATCTATCAACACCTCCATGTAATTAGAAGTATTTTCAAGCCACCCATATTACCTATAAAGTTCTGCTGTTCTTTGCATCTTCCCTTCCCTGGTATAACTGTGTGCTTTACACTGACTTTAATTCTCTTTTTAAAAGGTTACTAGAACTGACGTTGCTCACTTTGTAACAATCAGAGTTAAGGCAGGATTGCTTGAAGTCTACCAGGTTGGTGAAAGCTGGTTTTGCAATGAGTAACCCACTTATCTAGTCCCATCCCACACTTCACAGGGGAGCATAATCCTAAGCCTAGAGGACAAGTAGACATATAAAGATATGAGAGAGTTGGAGAGATTGTTCAAGTGGTTAAGAGCATTTGCTGCTCTTCCAGGAGACCCAAGTTTGGATCCAAGCACCCATGTTGGGCTGCTCACAGCCACCTGCAATGCCGTCTCTCAGGTGTCCAGTGACTTCTTCTGGTCTTTTCAGGCACCTGCACTCATGTGGCATACACTCACACAGACATGCACACATACAGATAAATTTAAAACTATTACTTTTATTTTATTTTGGTTTTCTGAGACAGGGTTTCTTCTTGTAGTCCTGGCTGTCCTGGAACTCCGTCTGTGGACCAGGCAAGCCTGGAACTCAGAGATCCACCTGCCTCTGCCTCCCAAGTGCTGAGATTAAAGTGTGTGCCACCATACCTGGCATATATATATACACACACACATATATGAAATTTATTTTAAATTTACAGTGCTGGGGGTCAGGGCCTTGCTCATGGCAGGGAAGAGTTTTACCCCAGCTTACACACACCTCCGTACCCTGTATCTTTTACTGAATCCTAATTTGAACTATTCTATTGACTCCCCAAGTCTAACCCCAAAGTTAGCTTCAGGACATACCTGTGACAGCCTCACCTTGTCCCACTGGCAGCCTTATATTTACCATCTAACCCTAACTTGAAGGGCTCTTGAATTCACCACGAACACTGGGGGGAAATCACTGGTATTTCTAGAGCATCTAGATGTCATGATACTTTGAATACAAACAGAAAAATGTAATAGAACCCTCGTTAGCAGGCCCCGGGCAACTGGAGGGGATTTCTCAGCCACAGACACAGCCTTCCGTGCCACTGGTGGTCTCCTTCCGTGCGGTGTGTTTGGTGCTGAGGTCTTTGTGTGGTCACTGTGGGGCGTTTTATTTAGTCTTGCTTCTTCTCTGGGCAATGGCTGGATGTTAAACATTAAATCTGTTTCCACAAAGGTTTTATATACGACTTTCTTTCCGTTACAATTAGGAAATGAACGGAATATGGCTATAATTAGATTTGAAAGAGACAAAGACACAGTTATAAAACTCTACATTTGGTAGGACAAAAAAAAAAAAAAAGAGTACAAGCCTTGGCTGTGGGAGTTGCACATCTGTTAATAATGTGCTCCTGAGTGAGGAGGACGGGGAGGGATGCTCTCAGAACAATCCAAAGCTGGAGAGGGTCACGGTCCTCTGCACCTTTGGGCCCCCGTTTACCTCCAGACTTTCTTCTTTTTGTGTGTTGGTGTTGGTGTTGGTAATCAAGCCCACAGCCTTGTACGTGCCAGACAAACACTCTCGCAGTGGTTTGAACTAACATCCCTCCTTCCTTGCATTGGTCTCCGAATTTCTAATCGGATTTTTTTTCTATTTCTCAAATAATTGATTTGTGTGTATACTCCTCCTAAATGTGCAAGAGAATTTTAATGCTAAAAGTTACTTGTGCTTAACAAAAGCTCATATTAGTCATAATATTTTTGTTTTAATCAGATGTAAAATAAATTTTACTAGTTGTTTGATCTGAAATGGATGACATTTATACTAATAGAGGAATGTCTAGTATTTCTGTAATTCTTTTTTTTTAGGATTAGATTTTTTGGAGACAGACATGGTTATGCCAGGAATAGTAGTACTTGAGAAACAGAGGGAAGAAGATTGATGCAGGTTCAAGGCCAGCCTTGACCAGAATGAGACCATCTTAAAAAAAAAAAAAAATGAGCCGGGCGGTGGTGGCGCACGCCTTTAATCCCAGCACTTGGGAGGCAGAGCCAGGCGGATCTCTGTGAGTTCGAGGCCAGCCTGGGCTACCAAGTGAGTTCCAGGAAAGGCGCAAAGCTACACAGAGAAACCCTGTCTCGAAAAACCAAAAAAAAAAAAAAAAAAAAAAAAAAAAAAAAAAAAATGAAAAGAAACAAAGAAAGAACTAGGAAAGAAAATCAAAGCCAAACACTGAGGGAAGAGTGGTAGAATACATACTTAGCTTACACCAGGCACCTGGGTTTGATCCCCAACACCAAGTGAACAAATTTAAATAATGGGCTGAAGAGAAGGCTCTGTGGGTAAAGGCACTTGCTGCCAAGATGGCAGTTCAATCCCTAGGTCGCACATAGTTGAAGGAAAGAACTTACTCCTGCGAATTGGTATCTGATGACTTCCACATGTGTGCAGTGGCCTGCATACATCACTACCCTCCAATAAGTAAATAAATGCAATTAAAATTTTTTTAATTAAAATAAGATAGAAATAAAAATCATTACTTTTGTAGATATTGTCTCTGGTCAACGGGAATATGTATGATATATGTTGACGCCTTCAGTCTGATGGACTGCGTTTCTGCCGTGTTTGGGGTTTACAAACATTGTTTTAACAGTTTGATGTTAACCAGTACAAGTGTATCAGTATTTGTATTATCTGGAAAAAGCAACCCATTTTTTAATGCATAGCCTTCCTGAAACATAACTGTGTTTTATTTTAATGAACTTCTTGTTACATTTACTTTTTATACATGTGAATAAACTTTATACTAAGTCATATTTATTGCTTATTCTATAATGACTCGCATGTGATATTGTGCAGGTTAAACCTGACCAACTAATTGCATGTTTTCAAAATAATGTTTATAGCATATATATCTTTGATTTGGCTGGGCCAGCATCCTATTTAAATGATTGAGCTACAGCTGTGTGGGTGTTATTGTTTAATAAAGTTTTAATATTTAATACACGATTTGAGGCAAATATATTACTCCTTAAGACTAAATGTATGTGTGCTGGGATGTGGCCTAGCATGTGAGAATGCTTGCATTTGACCCTTAACTCAGCACCAAACCAAAACACACCTCTTCCTCTCTCTACGGCTTAACAGTCAGCTCCTTTCAGCACTAACATACCCTTGTCCAGGTGGACCACACTTTTTTCATGAACCCTCTGAAGTACATCACACTTGCTTTCAGGTTTGGCAATTGTAAATAAAGACACTATCAATAGCCATTTATAGGTTTTGTGTGGGCATGACTGTACCCATGATTTAACAACCAGGCCAACAACCACTACTTTATCATTTTTGTGCTCTGATGGCTACATAGTGATATTGTGGCTAATGATTGTGGCTAATGATATGTACCTAAGGTTCTTCCATGTCTTCTCATGACTTGAAAACTCATTGAGCATTAAATAACATTCCACTGTTTGGCCAACCTGGCCTACATCGTGAGTTCCTGAACAGCCAAGGCTATGTAGAGACCCTGGTTCAAGAAAAAAAGTTGTATTGTCTAAGTATACCAGTCTACTTATTTGTATCCATTACTTCTCTCATTGTTGAAATGAAATACCCAACAAAATCAACTTAAAGAAGAACACATTTATTTGAACTCCCAGTTGGAGGATACAGTCAGTCCCTGTGATGGGGAAGATGTGGTGGCCAATGCATGAGGTGGTTGGTCACACTGAGTCTGGAGTCAGAACATACAGAAGATGAATGCTGTGCTCTGCTCACCTCCCCCATTCAGTTTGGGACCCCTGGGATGGTGGTATAGCATCGAGGCTGGGTCTTCCCTCCTTGGTCAGGTGTGCCTAGGAACTCCCTCAGGGACATGCCTATGAGTTTGTCTTCTAGGTGATTTTATATCTTGCCAGGTTAGCCATGGAATTACCCAGTCACTTCCTTGATTCCTTCCAAGGTTGAGGATGAGAGTATCACTTCTGAAACCTCAAAGCCCACCCCCAGGCACACACTTCCTCCAACAAGGCCACTTGTACTCCAACAAGGTTACACCTCCTAATCCTTCTAATCTTTCTCAAATAGTACCACTCCCTGGTGACTAAGCATTCAAATATATGAGCCTATGGGGGCCATTCTTATTCAACCCACCACAAGCATTCTTTTATAGATTTATTTTAACTCAGTTTTGTTTCTTTATTCAACCTGGAGCCGGTGGGAGATTCAGTAACTGCTTAGGCTTAGGGTAAGCCACCTATAAAAGACATACAGTTAAATTAGAAAACTTATTAATCTCAAGCACAGCATAAGCTTTGCTTCTGCAGAAGCAGGAACCCAAGAGAAGGATTTGGGTATAGAGAATTTACTCTGGAAGGAAGAAGAATGAGCAGGGAAGGAGACACAGAAGAAGGATCAAAGTATATGTGATCGAAGTCATGGCTGAAACCAACAGAGTCACCCTAACATGGGAACCACTGAGAAGAGAGCAAAGTGCCTTCTAGAACAGTCTGCCTGGAGCTGAGAGCCTGGCACATCTATTTATTGATTGTTGTGCCCAGATTGCAACCCCCAGAGAGACCACCAAAGATGAGCATGCCGGAATGCAAAAGCAAGGTTTAATTCTGGATATACAATACAAGCCTAGGCAGGGACTTCGTCCAATACATCCAACGCAGTGGAGGCTGGAGGAAGTGCCCGCCTGTCCGCAAGCTCAGTTTTTAAAGGCAAAAGCCACAAGGTTACATCATTTAGGGGTGCTAGTACGGGTACAATTCTGATTAGCTTGCTTGTAGGGGCTTTCTAGAAATCATGGCTTAATCTTACTTCTAAGGGAGTGGTTACCCGCCACCATTTCTCATTGGCTGCCCTCAGGTGGGGACATTTCTGTGGTCAGTTACCCTGGAAACCAGGGAGAAGACATTCCATAGTCCGGCAGTCATTACCTCGTGACTACCTCGTGACTACCTTGTGACTCTGTACTTTTACACTTCCTGGTTTCTAGAATCTGAACTGACTGGTTTTAGTAACTCATGGCCTGTACCTAAGAAGAAATCTTGGGCCTTAGTTTTAGGGTAAAAGCATTTTGGTCTTATTTTTAAAATGGCTCATTTTGGTCTCACAGATCACCCTTCTTCAATGATAGAAGTTTTCTCCTGATAGAGAAATGTAGGCACTCCCTGGGAACTCCAGTGGTGTCCAAAACATCAGAAAGACACACACTGCAGGATCTTGGGGGTAGGAGCTTGAGAGCATAAAGTAAGGGGTCTGCTACAAAATGTACTGTATTTTTTCTGTGTGTGTGAGTACACATACACATATTACATATGCATAAGGAAGACTTCAGCTATCTTCCTCAATTACTCTCCACCATTTGTTTGTTTGTTTGTTTGTTTGTTAATCTTGATGGACAATTTGGCAGGATTTAGAATCACCATGGAAATAAATCTCTAGGCATGTCTATGAGGGATTATCTAAATTAGGTTGAGGTGGGAAGACTTGTCCTAAACATGAGTAGCATCATTCCATGGGCTGGGGTCCTAGACTAAATAAAAAAGAGATATCGCGCCTCTCCCTGCTTCCTGACTGTGGACACGAGGTGACCAACTGTCTCCTGACAGCATACCTTTCCTGCTATGATGGGCCTTATCCTTTGAGACTGTAAGTCAAAATAAACATTTCCTTCCTTCCAGTTGCTTTTGCTGTGAATTTTGTTACAGCAACAAGACAATGATAGATGGATACACTCCCCTTCCAGCTGACCTTAACTCTTAAATCCCTCCAGGGGTCCAACTGATATCATGTGACCCACAGCCCCCTCATGTTGTTAACATAAACTATGTGGTGTGGACCAAACCTCAAGTCAACGAAGATATCCTTAAATTGGACAGAATATTCCAAGCATTTAAAACTTTGAGACTGGGGCTGGACAGACAGCTCAGCAATTAGGAACACTTGTAGCTCTTGCAAAAGACCCAGGTTTGGTTGCCAGCACACACATGGTGGTTCATAATCATCCTTAACTCCGGTACTGGGAAATTCAATGCTATCTTCTGACTACTACAGACACCAGGCATGGATGTTGTGCACATACATATATGTGGGCAAAACACACAGAAAATAAATACATCTAAAAATGTTTTAAAAGTTTATAGCCATAGAATCAGGCAAGTATCAAACTTTTCTTTGTCATGTATAGGGTTCAAACAAACTGAACCTAATTTGCTAGCAAAACCATGAACTAAAATAAGAATCTATGGGTTCAGGGGCTGGAGAGATGGCTCAGAGATTAAGAGCACTGGCTGCTCTTCCCGAGGTCCTGAGTTCAATTCCCAGCAGCCAGGTAGTGGCTCACAGCCATCTGTAGTGAGATCTGGTGCCCTCTTCTGGCATGTAGACAGAATACTGTGTACATAATAAGCAAATAAATCTTTTTTTTTTTTTTAAGAATCTATGGGTTCATATTGACATAAATAAATAGGATAAGTGGGTTGGTGTGATGACTCAGTGGTTAAGAGCACTGATTGCTCTTCCAGTGAACCTGGGCTCAATTCCCAGCACCCACATGGTAGTTCACAACCATCTGTAACTCCAGTTCCAGGGGATCTGATGCCTTCTTCTGGCCTCCACAGGTACCAGGCACATACCTGCTGCACAGACATACATACAGGCAAAACATGCACAAAAAATAGAATAATAATAAAAACAATCAAATGAATAGGATAAAACATTAGTTCCTCCTTGTAGAAGAATAGTAACTAAGGACTGTGTGGCCATACAAGAAATGATGGAATTAGGAAAATTACTCTTTGGTGACTGTATTACTTATTTTTTTTTACTGCTGTAATGAAACATGACCAAAACAACCTATAGAAGAGGTTTTTTTGAGCTTATGGTTCCAGAGGGTTCAAGTCCATGATGGCAGAGTGGAGGCAACAGGTAGAAAGAAGGAGATGCTGGGAGCAGAAGGCTCACATCTGGAACTGCAAGCACAAAAGAGGAAGAATGCTGAGAATGGGCCAAGGTTTCGGTATCTCAAAACCAGCCCCCAGTGACACACGTCCTTTAGCAAAGTCACAGCTTCTAAACCTACCCAAATGGTGCCACCAATTCAGGACTAAGTATTCAAATGTCTGAGCCTATGGGGGGACAGTCTCATTCAAACCATCACAGTAACCAAAGTACTGATTGGTTGAGGCAAAGATCATCAGTGGATGCTGTAGTGAGTTGATTGATGACTCTCAAAAAGGTGTGTCCATGTACTAATCCTCTATATGAGTGAATGTTAAACTTGCTTGGCATACAGATCTTTGCAGATGTGATTACAAGTCTTGAGGCGAGCTCATCCTGAATTTACCAGCTAGGCTCATGCCCAGTGGCAACTGTCCTCATAAGGGACAGAAAAGCAGCAAGATATATAGAGGCGAAGGCAACATGAAGACAGAGACAGACTGGAGTAATGTGGCCAGGAGCCACAGAAAGCCACTGAAAACAATAAGACAAAGGTTCTCCTCAGAGCTCCCAGAAGCAGTATTACCTAAGAAACAATGAGTTTCTGTTATGCTAAGTCACCTGGCTTGTGGTCATTTGTTTAAGTCACCATAGGAAACCAAAGATGCTAAAATTTGAGGTTCATGGGTCATAGAGCACCCATGAAATACTGAACTACAAAAGAAAACACAGTAAGTAAAGGATGTAGGTCAGTGGCACAGCACTTGCACCTGTATCTTAGGGAGTTCATGAGGATCAAGCATACAAACCTATGTAAACAATACCCTTACCAAGGGATCACACTTGGCTTTGCTAGCTACCTCTCCTTACGAAGCTGCTGATTTAGTAGTCCATGAGAAAATTTTGAGTCTTCACTGTCTTTAGAGAAACCTCACTTCTCGAAGGAGGTTTCCAAAGAGGCAGGCTTCAAGAGGCACATTTCCTGATTCCATTACTGTCTCCCTGGGAATTGTAGCAAGCAACAAAGTCATCAAACCTGGTTGACAAGATCAAACTTCA